AAGCATCACAGCGAACACCACACAGCCTCATGCCTAGTGCCTAGTGAGCCCTCACAGGTCCTCAGCTGTTTTCCTTGGGCCATAATACCTGACTCAGGAGAAGAGTGAGGAGGAAGATAGCATGAGGAACAGGCTAGAACAAAGAGGAAGAAAAACAGAGTCTTGCCAGGGAGGGCAAGAGGATAAAGAAAAGTAGAGGTTGACAGTGGAAGTGTCTTTCATATAAATAGAGTCATTTATAATTGCATAAGAAAAGGACAGGCAGCAGAAAAGCATAAAAACGAAATATAAGAAGTAAAGCCATGCTGTTATGTTGAGCTGTAGGGGACTCAGGTCAACAATTTCTGACATTGCCAGTGAAGCGGAAGACCCAATACTATTATGGACTACTGGACTCTTTTAGAATATTTTGCTGAGTTAACACACCTATAATATTCAAATAACGGAACTAAACAAAAAAAGGGAATACAGATGAATGTCCATTTTGTATCTGTGTATTCAAAATGGTTAGAATAGATATATAGTTACATTCTGTTAGTGAATAGAGGGATTTGTTCTAATAGTGTTTGTAAATAAGATATCATGTCTGCATCTTGTACAGCAATTAACCACTAGGAAGAATGTATGCGAAGTGTTAATTATTGAAACTGACCTACCAATTTGGTTTGAAAAATAAAAAAGGACAGAAACTGTGAAATTGAAAGGACATATTTCTGAGTAAGAGGAAATAAAACAGATGAGTTTAGAAATTACACAAAATGCTTTACAACAGACTAGGCATAATGTTTTTATTAAGGAAGAATGTGGTCAATTCAGTGACGTTCTTTTGAAAAAAGGAACAGGCTATATATATATATATATATATATATATTTTAAAAAAGAAAAAGTGTTGAAAAAGTTGAGAAATGACAATTTAAAGAGCATCTGCAAACTTCTTCAGAGATCAGAAATAGTGAGCTAGTGAAGAGAATCTTGCATTTTTTCAGTGCATTGAAAGGCTGGAAAACCATAACCAAAATCTGGAGAGGGGGGAAAAAAAAAAATAGGAAAAGACTGAATAGTTCCAGAATGGCAAGAAAGACAAAGCAAGCCAAGTACCTTGAAATTGTCAGAAGAATCTAATAGTGATGAAAATAGAAAAAAAAATAAAGAATAATCTTTAGGTAATAAAGTGAAGAGGAACCACCAAAACAAAACAAACAAAAAAAAAAAACTAAAGAACTCTAAAAAGTCTGTAAAAAGTGTGTGTTTCTGTTAGGAAGGCAAATAACACCACAAAGAATTAAAATATCTTCCTATAAAGAAAGTGAATCTGAGGATAGTTCAGATGATGAATTTTTAATTTAAAAATTGAGCCATCTACAGATGAAGGTAAAGGAAATAGTAAAAAAAAAAAAAAATACTGGCCAGTACTAATTTAGAAGAAGTTGCAATGAAGCAAATTTGAAAAGACGTATATGAAAGTTAATCCTGCTTATGATTAACTGTGAAAACAGATTTCATATATTTCATTAAAAAAAACTTTGGAAGTGGGCCAGGGAGATAGCTCAGTAGAATAAACACTTGCCTGGCAAGCGCAGGGTCCTGAGTTCAATCCCCAGTACCACACACACACAAAAAAAAAGTGTGGAAGAGCTGATAGCTTGAGACAGAACACAATGACAGTGACTGTTCTTATAGGTTAGAACATCTGACTTACACTATTAGACCAACAAAGAGAATGTATTTTCTTTCTAAATCCTTTCTAAGACTTGTTCTGGTAGAACTTATTGATTACCTTGTTATCTTGTGTATCAGTGTAAATTTGAGTTTGCCATTTTAAGTTGCATGTCTATGCAATATTTAGTTTGAAGTCATGGCAGTAAATGCTCCTGCTTTTATAGTCATAATTTGAATTGTTTTGGATTTTATTTAGTATTAGCTTACTTACAACATACTTTTTTTTTTTTTTTTGTCTCACAAAAAGAGTTTAATAAAGAACAATTTGGCTGTTACAAGATCACTGGTAAGGGCTAGATTGGTATTAAAAGGCATACAGGGAAACGAAAAACATCTCTCACAGTGAAAACTCTGTCACTCTGGTGGCCTTACATCTTGGATTCTCAGTAGCCCCTGCTCCTGTTCCTTGGTTTTCAGCCCTTCTGGGCCGTTCTTCCTCTCTGCCTCCTTGGCCAACCTGTCAGTCTGCAAGCCTCAGCCAGTCTCACTGGCTTTCTTCACTCTCCAAGTCCGTCTGTGAGTGGTGCAGCAGTCTGTTAGCTGGCTGGAAGAGGGAGGTAAAGATGCAAAGCTTCCAAGATAGTATCTTTCCAAAATGGAGACAGGCCAGGTGCAGGCTGCACACTCTTAACATCAGGTTGGCCCAGAGATCTGTCTTGACTTCCTACAGTCAATATTTTAAAGGTGTTTTCAAAATTCAGTTGGCTTAAATGTTCTTCTTTGGTGCCTTGGTGCTTGACTCCCTGCCACCTCCAGCTTGTGTAAGGGGCTTCTCCAGTGTCCTGTGGGTAACACCTAATCTCACTGCCAGGATAGATGGTGATAAGAGTGACAGGCCTCGGGAAAACATAGCTGGTCATTTGCAGAAGGTGGGCAAAGGGTACAGCAGCTCTGCCCTTCACCTTGGGGGCCAGATAAATGGTTTCCTCTGAAAATTTTGGGTATCATGCTTTTCCGTTTTCCCACAGTAGGCTAGCCTGGTACTGGGTATGTTGCTGGCTTTGCCATGGTCACTGGTGCTGTCCTGCTGGCTCCACTCCTATGATGCAGACCGCCTGAGGCTTGCTACAAAATGCTTACAACATACTTTTAATCAAGTAGAACAAAAACTGTTATAACTGGCACTTATACATGCAGAGACTGTTGCAGTATTTAGCATATGGAACATTTTTAATTCATTCATTGTGAAAACTCAGTGTTCATCATATTAAATTACATAAACTAGAGCTATCTGAATGACTAAATTGGAACACTCTCTCTCTCTCTCTCACACACACACACACACACACACACACACACATGGGTTGTGAGCATGACAAAAGCGACATATTATTTTTATATTTAAAAAAACATAATTTCGGGCCAGCCAAATAGCTCAGAGGATTAAAGCACCTGCAAACAGGCGCAGGGGCCGGGGTTTCGATCCCCAGGCCTGCAGTGCCGGCCATGCCCTTGGGGCACGCTGAGTAATTGAAACTGGATGTGGAGGTGCGTGCCTGTAATTCCAGCTCTTGGGAGGGTATTAACAAGCAGATCACTGAGTCCGATTTAGTAGTGAGACCCTAAACACCCTGTAGACCCTTCCCTAAAAAATACAAAAACCCCGTAATTTCTTGTACATAAAAGGTTTCTTTTGTGCTAATTAGTTTTTAAACTCACATAGATATTTTCACACTTGTTAACTGTGCAGTGTAGTTGTTCAACCTGTCTGTGGTAGAGTAGTGAAAATGGGAATTCAGTGATGAGAACACTGAAGAAACTGCCTATTTCTGTTTTGCCTTGAGTGATCAATAATTTGTAGTTTATATGTTAACTCTACAAAAACATAGGTATATTTCATATTAAAGACAGGCCAAAATCAGCACATCAAAACACTGTGGGAAAAGATAAGATTAAGTATGAGCACATTCCTAAATGAACTGATTTTGATTAACTGCTTTTGACCACATAAAATACTCATACTTACAGGGAACCTGGCCAGCTTCACAATTATGATGAAAGTTCTAGATATGATGCCAAAAAGTAATGTGTTGCAGTAGCACATATCTCTGACAAAGAAATTTGATGTACTGCGAATCCGAGTTGTTGGGTTTTAAATTTTGGCCAATTAGGATTCTAGGTGATCAGAATTGGGGAGATGGCTCGGTAGAATAAGCACTTGCCTGGAAAGTGTAGGGTCTGAGTTTAATCCCCAGTTCTGCCAAAAAAGAAAGAAAGAAAAGAAGAAAGTAGGGATTCTAGGTGATCAACATATAGTCCATTTCTAAATTTAAGTGATTAAATTTTTTCTTCTACATTGGCTTAGTTTATAAAATAACCTACCTGTGAACTTTAAAATAAACCATGCTGCTGTTAACAAAAATTACGTATTTGATTTACCTAATTTTGACAGTTATTTTCACAGGTTTAATTTATTTCTTGATAAAGTTAGGACATTAAAAAATAGTTTGCGTAATACATTTGCATGGACTAAGTAACTAAATGAGACCTAAAATTTGGCCTTTGGTTTTAGATATTTTATTTGGTAAGTTTAAAATTATCAGTAAAACTTGAAACTATCAAGAATTTAAAACTTATCAATAAATCAGTGTGTTTTCAAAAAGATGTCAGTATATTCCATTGTGATCTGTTGATTCAGAATAATCACTATGAATGATTAATAGCAACAGTGATTTTTACAGAAATAAAAATCCACCCTAAAATTTATAGACAATCTCAAAGAACCCCACAAAGAACTGAAATGATTTTATAAAAGAACAAAGTAGGACCCACTTCTTGATTTCAGAACTTTTTATAAGCTACATTAATCAAAACAGAATGGGAATGGCATAAAGACAAGCACACACCAATGAAATAGAATACCCAAGAAATCAGCCCTTGGTTCATAGTGGCCCTAGCCTCTTATTTGCCCTCACTGTGACTACGAAATGGTGGACAGAAGCAATTTTTAAAAACACATAAGAGAGCTCCATGTTAACCCACAACAATTTAATTGCCTTGTATGTGAATATGCAGTTTCTAAGAAGTGTGATTCCTGGTATCATTTCAAATCCAATCACACTACTTGTCTAATGAAACAGTGGATCTCAAAAGTGAAACTAAAGAAAACCAGAAAGTGAAAGGCTGACTTGCTGCCAGTGAAAAAACAGAAACGGAACAGACCAAAACAATGGGGGATGTGGCTGGAAAGAAAAATGAGAAGTCTGTAAAAGTAGAAGAAAAAAAAAAAAATCAGTGTTTCAAAAGAGAACAAGCCTTGGAACAGTGTCTCATTCATCCAGGTGACGACCAGAACTTGCAAATCAGCCATGAAGGCGAAAGAGATGGATGTGCATACAGGAAATAGTTCAGTAAGACCAAGAACAGCAGAAAGAAGCTGGAAGCTGAAACTCAGTCCTTGCATAATCCTGTGAATGAGGATGAACCTGTAATGAGAAAAAGGTGGAAAGCGAATCCCAAATGATCAGGAGGTGCCAGAGTGACAGTACAGCGGAAAAGAAAACAAGCAAAGTGCCTGTGTGCAGATAAGTACAAACAAGAAAACTCTGAAAAATAAATCAAGTAAGAAAAGCAACAAGCTGGATCCTTGTGAGCCAGGAGGAGGCTCAAAAGGAAGATGCTCCAAAGGGGCCTGCACAGAGTCTCCTCTAGTTCCTGCTCCTGCAGCCCAGCCAGGCTGTTGAGGAGGGCCCTGTGCAGGCTGAGCTACCTCCATCCATGAAGCCAGCCCCCATGGAGGTTGTTCTGGAGCCACTTCTCCCAGAGCCTGCTCAGATGGATCCTGTTCCGAGCCTAATGGAGCTGCCCCCTCCAGTACAACTTCTCCTTCATATTGAGCCAATCCCAGCAAGGTAGTAAAAAGAAAAAGCCCAGCCTACAGAGTGAAATGGCCACAAATAGCAAGTCATTATTGGCTTAGTGCCTAATACAGACAGGGATCAGAAGAGGCAGATGAGAGTGTAGCTGATGGAGCCACTCCCAAAGAATCTACCAGTGATTCTACTTCTGTCTTGATGTTGAGCATGCCAGACCATGAAACTTCAGATGGTAAACATTAGATCCCCTCAGACTCCCTCCTTGTGAAATGGAAATGGTCCTGATGAGGACTCAACAGAGAATCTCCCAGGTAAAGATGCCATAAGTAAAGAACTAGCTTCACCATCACTGTTCTCACCAGTAGCAGAAGAATGAAAAGCAAGGTCCAAAACCACTCTGCTTTAGCTCTTATTAGTGTGACAGTAAATGAGACTCAGGAAATTGATGAAGATAAAGACATCCACAGTCTTGATGGAAGTGACCTAAGTGGCAACATGTCAGAGGAGGGTGATAATTCTGGATTGCAAGGGGCGTGGCCAGTTGGCCAAGAAACTAGAACAAAAAATGTAAAGGAAGCACAGCAGTCAAAGTGTCTGAGGGAGTCTTTGTATCTTCTATGATTTTTCTTCTAGAAAGGAAATAGATAATAGCAAACACCTCAGTCACCATTCAATTAGTATGTACTTCCTTTAAAAAGCTGTTAGGGGGCTGGAGAGATGGCTCAGTGGTCTAGAGCACCTACTTGGAACAAGCTCAGCGAAGCACAGGGACCGTGGTTCAATCCCCCAGCACCACATGCCAGCCAGCCCCGCCCCCTGGTGGGCTGAGTTGGTCACACAAATAAATAAATAAAATTAAAAAAATAAATAAAAATTTAAAAAAAAAAAAAAAAAAGCTGTTAGGGCCCGCCAGATAGCTCAATGGACTAAAGCACCTGCTTAGGCAAAGCACAGCAGCCTGATTCGATCCCTGGCATGCTGTGCTGGCCCTGCCCCTGGGGTGCACTGAGGCAGCAATTGAGATTGGGTACAGTGGCACGCGCCTGTAATCCCAGCGCTTGGGAGGCTGAACACGGGAGGATCACTATGGATCCTATCTGCATAGTGAAACCCTATATATATACCCTGTACTAAATACATTTTTTTTTAAAAAAAAAGCTGTTAAAGGGCAGGAGTAATTAAGCTTTGCACAAGGTTATAGCTTTTAGTTTGTAAGAGCTATTGCATTTTATATTTGTTTATTGTGGTAGACAGCAGTTTAAGATTGCTAGCCGAGAAGATAGCTCAGTAGAATAAGCGCTTGCCTGGCAAGCTCAAGAGCCTGAGTTCAATCTCCAGTTCCATGAAACAAAAAAAAAAAAAAGATTGCTTTAATTGATGTCCAGTATTGATCTAGTTAAGTGGCCTTGCTTTCCTTAGGACTTTTTATGTGTTTATTGATGTACAAATTCTAGAAATCCAAGAGAGTTAGTATATTAAAACCAGCACACCCAAATCTGTTAGCTGATGTGCTCACTGGAAACAGGGAGGCCATCTGTCACCATAGCATCTGTTGGTCTGTCCAGCTGAAACTCATCTGTTTTTCTCTCCATGTTTGTCTTGTTTTACCTTAATTTATTATTAGTTCCTTGTTTAGTTCTATAAAAATTGGCTTAATAGCAAATTAAAGGAAATTTGCCTGCTTCACATAAAGTCAACACCTTTAAAATTTCTTTGGAGGTAAGAAAAGACATTTAAACTGAAGGAAAAGTCTCATAATAGTGGACATTGTATCAGTCCAGGTATTTATTTCCCAATTTTTAAAATCAATATTTCATGTTTGTATGTTAATCATCATAAAACAGTGATTTTATAGTTTTTTTGTTATTGTTGTTTTTGGTTTTTGGGGGTGGTTTGATGTGCTTTAATGGCTAAAGACTGCACAATTTTTGTTTTGTTTTTCTTTTACCTATGCAGTTAAATTTTTTCCAGAAGTAGCATTTGCACTGACCGGTAACACTTTATATACATGTATGCATGTTTATTTTGGCCCCTTACGTTGGATGCTTTTAGTCTTGTTGGCAAAGGAATAGTCAACTTTTTCTTTGTTGCAGGTATCTTTTTAGCAGAATAGTAGTGCGTGTAAGCTTGTGAACAGATGTAATGTACAGGTTCAGTCTGTTGATTTTCACTTCTGTATGCCAGAATCAGTGTTTTGTACAAACTGTTTATTTTGAAATAGTAAACTCACAGCTGTTATGATTTTTGTAATAAATAAACCACTAGTTTCTACCCTCAACAAATTTTATTTTGAATACCAATTGTAAGGTTTTTGTGGGATTCTTTTTTTTTTTTTTTTTGGTGGTGGTGGTTGCCTGTTCTCTTCTAGCTATCTTGTAATTGTAGTGTTACATATCCTTAGGGGATCATTTGTTATGGATGGTTATTGTCCATGTGCCTGTTTAATCAAATGAAAAGCTATTGGTATTTGCAAACCTGAAACCAGGAGATGTAATTAAGTTTTACAGCATCACCTGTGAGAATCCAAAGCTGTTGCTGTTAACACCACACATCTATAATGAGAGGTGATATGGATTCTGGTAAGCTAGCTGCAACTTACTATGAATACAGTGAAAATGGCTTTTGAATTTAAATGCGGTCTAGATTTAAGTCCTACTTCCTCAGGGATCTCCACCATACTAGAGGGTGCCTTAGCTGTTCCTATGGATAGCCTCTTGCTAAAGGTGAGACCTCAAGTGAACTGCAGCTGTCTTGGTGTTCCTGGGGAGACTTTGTATGAAAAGAGGTGTGTACTCCAAAACTCTCAGAGGTTCTATGGCCAGTTGCTAAAGTGTATGAAAGAATCCAACATAAGATTTTTCTTACTGTTTAGGAATTGCTCTTTGCAAATAAAATTCAATCCTAGTTAAGGTATCTTGGATTGTGACCTCCCATGTTCTGAAAATAACCCTTTATATTTCATGTCTTTTCCTTTACCTGGGCATCTCTTAGGTTAGACTCAGATTTTGGCAGTATACCATGGAAGATTAGGACAAGCATTAATTTATGGTCATAAGATATTAAAAATCTGAGAGTGAATTCTCACTTAAAGGTGTTTGAACTTAGAATTGACTGGGAAGCCAAAGATTTAAAGAAATGTAAGATTCATTGAAGATGCAAAGACTAAGTTGTGTGAGGATGGTGTGTGTTTTGTGTGCATGAATGGGAATTTGTACTTGTTGAATTCTAAACTCCACTAATCATTAGGAGAGCAAGCTGCAAATATATATGTTTTAAAACTTAAATTATAGGACTGGGAGATAGCTCAGTAGAATAAGTGTTTGCCTGGCAAGTGCAAGGTCCTGAGTTCAACCCCAGTAAGGACAAAAAAAAAAAAAATTGTAAAGCTCGTTAAATCTTTCTAACGACTAGTTTTAATGTTCTTGAGCATATTTTACCTAACTTATCTTTTACATTATAATGAAAAATTCATTTTAAGGAAAGATTAGACACTGGTTCTCTGTTTGAGAAAGAGGTATTAGTATTCTTTCAAAGTACAAAGGAAAGAAGTTTTCTTTCTGGTGAACTGAACAAGTTCCTAATCTAATCTTTAAGTTTAGAATGCTAAACATTATAAAGGAAATTGAAACCTCTTGTTAAGCTGATATGTAAAAACATTTGTACTGGAAATTGACTAGGATTTGAGACCTTTCTTTCAGAAAACAAAGACTTGATTCTTAGGCCTATCTTAGGTCCTGAACTGTAATACCACTTATTTGTACTACTAAATATTGTTTCAATGAAAAGTATATTAGTAATCAGAACTTCTGGTCAGTTGAGAGTTTTTCCATTTGCAAAATACATTTGTGTGGAACTGTTTGCGTATTTGAATTGTCTAGTCCCCATCTTCCAAAGAACAAAAAATAAACATACTATTTTTAAATTGATGTTTAGTAATGATAAGCTTGAAATACTAGAGAATATATTACAAACAGAATCTTTGGTAGTCTCATGAAAATGTATTTCAATTATCTTTTGAACCTGTATTCACGTTGACTTTACATATATTTTTTGTTTTGTATTTTATCTTTTTTTCCTTTTTTGAGACAGGTTTCATCATGTAATGGAGGTTGGCCTTGAACTCACTTTGTAGCTCAGGCTAGCCTTGAACGCTCAGCAATCCTCTTGCGTCAGCCTCCTGAGTGCTGGGATTATAGGCATGTGCCACCACACCCCAGCTCAAGATATTTAAATTATATTTTTTCCTCGTCTTTTCAGAGCTGTTTATTTGGGTACTACCTTTGTTGTTGTTGTGGTGGTGGTGGTGGTGCTTGTGGTTTAATTCATTGTTTTGATATAACTTTTTAGAGCTATGGCTAATACTGTGTGCTAGTCTTCAAAGAAGGGCCTTTTTATTATTTAGAGTCCCTTCTAAAGTCACATGGCTCACTAAAATTGGGGATTGTTTGCATGTGAATGCTAATACAGATTAAAACTTGAATTGACCTCATCTTATGCCACCCCGCCCACAAATGTTGACAGTGGGAGGAGTGTCTTATCCATAATGTATTGTTGCTTCTGGACTTAAAAGCTGGGAAAGCCGCTTAATTTTCTTCTTTGCATAGATCAGAAACACTTTTTTTTGTATTTTAGGGAAGGGTGTCCAGGGTCTCACTAGTAGACTGCACTCATAGTGATCTGTGTACACCCTCCCAGGAGCTGAGATTACAGGCTCGCGCACATGCCACCATGTCCAGTCTCACTTGCCATCTCAGCACGTTCCGGGGACAGGGCCGGCACAGCAGGCCCAGGTATCAAATCTCTGGCCCCTGCACCTGCTTGCAGGTGCTTTAATCCACTGAGGTTTTTGGTTGCCTCTAGAAAAACTTTAAAGGCTAAATGTGCTGAGGTCTCTTATTGGCCTTAACAGATAAAATGAGCTGATAGTGTTAATTCAGTTTTTAGAATCAGGGACAGTTTCCTGGCAAGTAAAAGGGCCTGAGTTCAATCCCTGGTCCCCCTCCCCATCATCAAAAAATAAAATAAAATAATTAAAATCAAGAACAGGCATATAGCTCAGTGGCACAGCATCTGCCTGGCTAGTGTGACGTCCTGAATTTGATTGATCATGTGTATACACACCCCCAAAAAACAAGCAAATTTAAAAAATTGCCTGAATCCTAGTTTTTGTAGATTTACAGTCTACATGTAACACTAATAAAGCATATAGCTTTTATAATTGTTACTTTTCTGAGACAAACCAGATATATTTCTCAAAATTCTTACTGCCTTCTTTAGCAGCATTTTGTTGTAATAGATAAAAGTAAACCAC